CATCATACACAGTGCCGTTTGCGATTGATCTCTGTTTCGTTTAGTTTCAGTTGTGACTGAGATTATCTTTGGTGTGTGTGTGAGTCTTTTGCGATATTGTGATTTCTGGTCTAAAAATTGTGTCTTTTAAGGATTGTTGAGAGGTTTTGAGTCGTAATCTCTTCTATTTGGAATTAGAATTGGTAGTTTGTAGTTAGTTCCTAAGGTTTCAGGGAAGTTGAATGTTTGGTTTGAATGGTGCCATTGAAGAACACTTAACTAAGTTCATCTTCCTCAGTTTCGAATCAAGGGTCAGTTTTACAGAAACTGCAGCCAATCGGGTGGGTCAATGTACCATAGGAGAATGACTTGTTCTCAAAAGTTCAATGAGATCTTGGTGTTACGACATTATTTGTTTGTTGATTATGCTAAGTGATGAGACGTAAGGAGTTGAAACTTTGGGTTTTCTTAGGTATCTGACTGAGCAGCTGAGGAAAATTCAGATAGTGAACGACACCAATAAAGTAAGTGGCATGAGTCTTTGCATTTTAGCAACTGTCTTGGCATTATTTTTTCGTTTTTTTGTTAGACTTTGATCTTTGTTTACCGGGTGCCATTATGAAGGATATTGTTGTCGAGGCACTGAGATCAATCGCGGAGATATTAACTTATGGAGATCAGCATGACCCCTTATTTTTTGAGTGAGTCTTTGTGCCAATGATTTAATCAGTCAACTCCCTTAGTTTCCATTTGGCATATGTTCATATTTGCGGTTTGTTGCAGATTTTTTATGGAGAAACAAATCATGGGAGAGTTTGTACGTATTTTGAGGGTTAGCAAGACGGTTACAGTTTCTGTTCAGTTGTTGCAAACCATGAGTATTATGATCCAAAACCTTAAAAGTGAACAAGCCATCTGTGAGTTCATGACATGCAGTATATTTATCTTTGAGGATTCCTCATGATTATAATCTATTTATGTTCTTCTTTTGAAACTCCTTGCAGACTACTTGTTCAGTAACGAATATGTAAATTATTTGATAACATATAAATTTGACTTCCAACACGAAGAGCTTCTATCTTACTACATATCCTTCTTAAGGTACATTTTTCTGCTGTTATCTCGGCTTTAGGAAGTACTCATTGACTGTGTCTGATAACTGTTATGTTTGCTTTATGTAGAGCTGTTAGTGGGAAACTAAACAAGCATACAATATCGTTGCTTTTGAAGACCGAGAACGTGAGTATTCTTTAAGTTGCATTTACCTTTTACTTTTGTAAGTCCTTTATGGATTTTTTTTCTGCCATATTTTAATTCTGCATTTCTGCGTCTAGGATGTAGTAGTTTCTTTTCCCCTTTATGTCGAAGGCATACAATTTGCATTTCATGAAGAGAACATGATACGCACTGCAGTTCGTGCCCTGACTCTTAATGTATATCATGGTAAGTCATTTATAATAGTTCTTTTGGTGTTTCATTTGTAGGATGAAAAAAACCAGAGGATTTAGGAACGTTTCTGATGCCTTCTG